TTTTGACTGTGAGGTAGCCTAATGTTTGAAACTGCCTTATAACTAAGATATAACTAGCAGTGAGTGCACCTGCCTTGAGTTCGGAGAATCGTTATTCAGGGCTCAACCCGGAACACAGAGTAGACTTTTGTTCTTCTAAGTATTGTATTTTATTTTGTTTTATTTTTATTATTTTATTATTTCCCTTCTACGTGACTTTACCGAAATAATTCTCAGAATTGTATTTTATTATGTTTTATTTTTATTATTTTATTATTTCCCTTCTACGTGACTTTACCGAAAGAACCAAGAAGATGAATCCCTGCAGTCACGAAAGCTTTAAATCGAAATTTAGACGTTTGTTCTTATGGTAGATGCAGTGCTCTGGAACATTTCTACGTGTCCAATGCATTTCAAACAGCAGCGCTGAGCTGCATCGCACGTGGCCAAAGCAAATGGGAAATCTTCTCCCTTCCCTCGGATTCATGATGAGGGACCTAGTCGGTTCGCTGTGTACCCAAGCATAGATGGTTTGCTTTGTATGTACAGTAAAACCTTGTTATTTTGGTATTTGACCATTCGTAATTGCGGATAATTCGGCACGGCTGCGCTGTCGTCATATATACAGTATATTAGTGATTCGTCACGAGCCGATTTGCCGTACCGAATGGTCCAATTTCGGCATGCACGTGGGGAATGCCGAAATTGTGCGCGTGTGCGTGAGGCGAGCGTTAATGCAGACATGTTGCTTTGGACTTTGCCTTGTTTGTGCACTCTGTGCAAGCCAGGTCTCTCAGACATGCCGTCTCCACCTCCATCAAGAAGCAATAGAAAGGGACTGCAGTATAAATCCCTTAGTCTGTGAGACAAATCAAAAGTCTTGGATAGAATTGATGATGCGTATGGTGTGTGAGTTTTGACAACAAATTTGGAAGAAAAAAATTATTGGGGCAGGAGGCACTGGGGAGCACCATTGTACATAATTCTAAATATTGGATCATTCGGCAAGGCCAGAGCTCCATATGTGTCTAATTAAAAAGGGTTTACTGTACGTTGAACTTCTTTCGCCCCGTACGTAGCCAACCGTACTTGGTGTATCGGTGCCTTTTGCGCGCGTTAACTTCTATTTGCCAGATAAAAAGAATAATAAAAATGTGAAGATCGCGGTTGATAATTCCACACGCGTTGGATGTATTCATCGTTGATGAAGATGTCGCCGTGCAGATCACACTTGACCGTGATCGCACAAAAAACGGCGTCGATTTGTTTTTTTACGATGTGACGGAACTCATGCGGCCAGCCCTGCAAGCCTAGCTGTTTCCAGTGAAGTGCATTCGCGACGACATGTTAATTTAAACGCTGGTTCCCATAGCATAGCTTTTATTGCCCAACCCATTTCACGTCCCCAATCCCGGCAGAGCAACCTTCTGCTCGGTGAGCGCCCGAGTCATAAATCTAAGCGCTTGCCATCGCGGCGGCGGCAGCGGCGGCGTCGTCTTGAGCGGTCGTGTGACCGTCAAGAGCGTCGGACAGCCGTGTCTGTCCGCGCGCCCCATTATATATTCTTGCCCGCCATCCAAGAGAATATGACGTGTCATGTTTTTCACGACAGGTGGCTTGCGATCTTATCTCACCCCGCCGGCTGCAAGCGCTTTGTGGCTTGCAAATATATGTGTACGTTTGCCTACAAAATCGCAGTGTGGTGGCAGTAAATTGCACATTGAAGTGGCCGGATTTGACAAATATGTTTTTATTTAACTTGAAAATGCCCATGAATTTTATCTCATACATATTAACAGTATTTTTATTTTTTTTATTTTACAAAACTATTTCCAACCTTAAACAAATAAAAACCCAAATATTTACAATAAAGCAACAGTTTTACCAAACCGTCATGGGTTGGGTAAGTAAGTAGCTATATTTGCCAAAATAATTTATTTATGTTCGACAACGCTGTATCTTTGGCATAATTTAAGTTGTGTATCGCTGCGAGCTATTACGTCGTACAATACCGTTAATGTGGTCCAGTCTAAATCGTATCCAAATTATAGATGAGAAATTATACCATTGTAGCGTTGAAGGTGACCACAGAATGAATCCACCGAGAAATAAAACAATCGTGTTACATGCATTATTAAAAATAATTGTGCGTCTGTAAAATCAATGATGTATAGACGTACGGTGCTGTACAGTTTCCATCGCCCTTTTAATGGGTGCCTTGTCAAACATTATTCTAAAACCCCAGGGGATTAGCATGGTGAGAAGTTTTTGGCATACGTTTTTTTCTGATCCAGGTCAAAGGTTATTGTTCATACATCGCTCATCAATAACACAGGTCCTTTGCTTCTGCTGCTCGGATTGATCCCTTGCTCAACTCTGCAATGAAAACGACTAAAGTGCTGTGACTGACAGCCAGACAAATTTATTTTCTTGCCATGTACATCTATTGAGAGGCTTTAAAGAAATAAATAAACATATACATGTTATTGTAGCATCTATCTAGGTAGAAAAACGAGTGTCACGGAACCTTTGAAAACACTGCTTCTGGGATATATAATACATATATTTTCTCATAATAACCCAGAAAATACGAACCGGACAGGTGGCTCAGCGGTAGAGCTGTTGGCATGAGCGATGTGGGATGCTGTTGGCATGAGTGATGTGGGATGCTGTTGGCATGAGCGATGTGGGATGCTGTTGGCATGAGTGACGCTATGTAAAATGAAAGTATTATTATGACAGCGAGCGGCTCGCAATCAGAGGGCTGGGGGTTGGCTCAGCCCATCATAACGAAGGTCGATAAAATAAGTACCACATTGTGGGGAAAGTCAACAACGATTGTTCTATGGATAGCCTTAACCTCACTCTAGGAATGTGGAATTTCCACCACGAGAAGACATCTCACTTAGTCCCGTGAGCTTGGGCAGCACACAACTGAAGGACAAAAGGCAAGACCGGAAAGGAAGCCGAGGAATGAAAGAGCCATGAAGGAAAATGGCCGTAGGGGAGCGACATCAATGAATGCAGGGCGTGTGTGTGAGCGAGATGTGATCAGCGTGTAAGCCATTTGATATTATTATTATTACGATCAAAAGAGACCTTCAGACACTATTGAAGCGTGCGCAGGCACCGGTGCTGCACACATTCCGCCATGTCGCGGCAAAAGTCGATCGCGTTAACTGCTCGGCAAACCGCTCGTGCGCCGACTTCATTGCCGGCGTCAATCCCGCGTTAGAGAATCCACGTCGGAGACGCAGGCATCGGTGCCGGTGCGAGCATCACACTCGCCAAGGCTTGAGAGTGACGGGCGAGTGATTTGGTGGGTCGACTGGAGAGCGAGCGGCTGTTTTTGGGGTTACAGGAGTGCCGTCACAAACACACCACTGCAGTGCTCTTGTGTGCATCAGGCATTATGACGCGCACGTACGGCCCATTTGGTCAATCCGCTGCTGGATGAGGGTCTCCTCCAAGCCTGCTGGGGCCACGAGTGTTGTTTGACCCTGCTTCACTGCGCTGGTCGGCGTGGGGAGGTGAAGGCGGCGGGAGTGCAGAACAGTGGAATTTGCTGCACTGCTCTCTACTGACCCCAATGCCTACTGCACAGGTTTATTCGCACTTTGTGGTGACCTCATTCAAACAGCATCCAGGCTCGAACCTGCTTGCCTTGTGAGATCTGATTCAAAGAAAGCACGTTTATTAGTAAGACTCGCTGCCTTAAAAGGAAACGTAAAAAAAGGTGATTTTTTGGGGGCTTTTCCCATTTTCCTGAGCACATAAAACGCTGTGATTGTGCTGTGAGAAAGGTCCATTACCTGACACGCCACCTATTATCGATGTTTTCATTTCAAGGCAGTGCTATTGATGAACATGTTGACTTTTGATTTCTTGTGCCTGTGCACCACTGCCAATGCAGCAGAACCGCCAACGATGTTGAGATCTCACAAGGATCGGGGGGAGGTGCATTTCAGGTTACCTGGCCGCAGGCTGCATTTATAATAAAATCACAAAATACAACTGCAGACCGTGGGACCTCCGTTGGGAGTATTGCTTTATAAACAGATTGAAGGTAAGCAGGGGGGGGGGGAAACTAAGGAGATCATAGCTGTCAGCTGTGAGCGATAGTGCGTGTTCAATTGCTGTGATGGACATTTTACAGCATCGCCGACAAATGAAGGCTTGGAATGCTACACAAAGCCACCAGCATGCAGCAGCTGTCAGCTTTGCATTGCTAGTTATTTGTGTTGTGCATTCACAATCCTTACATTTTACAAGGCACACCTCGTTGAGATGCAGGAATGTATGCTTTGTGCTGAACTTATGTATGTAATTAACAAGATACCTTTATTTGTAAGCCGGTAAGAATCCATTGCGATTCAATGCCTTTTTATAGCGGTGGACTTGGGATTTTGAATTCAATCAGGATGTCTTGTATGCAAGACCTTTGCCCTCACCTATTTACTGCTAACAAGCAAACTCATCCATTAGGCATGTAACAAATCATCTCCCCCAGCGACGTAATGAAACATCTAGATTTGGGGGGGGGTGGGGGTCACAGTTCATCGTAAGAAACACTTTTCTTTTGTTCCCTTTGTACCATTTCGTTTTTTCTGCTTCTCAACGTTTCTGTCTTTGTCCGGTTTCGTCCGCTCCATTATTCCCAGTGTAGCATTCACACGTCACCTGCGTACTTTTTAAAGAAGTAATGGTCACACGCACGATTTAACCAATCGTTAAGTAACCAATCGGAGGAGCTTGTTTTTACTTCTTGATTATCCACGTCACGTGGTACCCACCACGGCAGGTGAGTATCGTTGGTGGCGATACAATCCATGCACTCTTATCGCGCCTGTGAAAAATGAGATGGCGGCGATCTGAGCTGCGCGCCGAACAAGCGGAATGGGTGGAATCGGTTTCGCCCGCCGGGAGCTCATGGTGGCTCTTCTATTGAAAGCGCTTACGGGGAAAACTGTCAACATTACTGGCTGCTTTAGGTGTTTTCTTTCTCCTCTCCTTCTTTGCAGAGAGATGCACATGGTGGATGCGGTGAACTGGCACAAGATGAGAGGTGAGCAGGGCCAGGGGGTGTGTGTGTGTGTGCGTGAGAGACACTGATGTGCTTTGTTACCATTAGCCGGCTGCCGAGAGCTTCCCACTTGCCCCTGCCGCCTGTAGACTGAACGGGTCCTTTTGGGGAGATTCATTTGTTTTACAGTGAGATTCGTTATTGATTTTATTGGCGGCCCCTTTTGACTCCACGTGATGGCACATTCAAACTCATTATGTCTTTTCGAAGGTAAACACATACCAGGTATACGTGGAGGGAAAAAAACACTCCGCAAATTCGTCTATAATACTGTCTTATAAGGAAAAGTCTATAATAACTAATAATATATAATAGGTGACGTTTTGGAAATTGGTGCATCTTCATAGCACGTAAATTTAATTGTTTCTATACGTATATGCGGCACATTGTTACAATTTACGGGACATGTGTTGACTGCTAACAGGCAACGTTGGTACAGAGGTTTGTACGCTGCCATATGAAGCTGGTAACCCCAGTTCAATTCCCGGACACGGCTAACATCAGTGGCGAGTGATATTTGAAACCGGTCGTTTTCTCACAAACCTACACTTATCAGCACGGCGAAACGTGGCCAAAAAATCTAACCGTGACCAACAGTTCGGTGAGGCCTTCATCTAGCGGCGCATCGGTAAAGGGCTGTAAACGCGTTTTACGGTTAATCTTTAAGTTGACTGTCAAGAAAGCTAAGTGAGATGGGCAGGACTCGCTGCTGTTTGAAGGTTCGGTGGCCAGTGGATCAGAATTTCGAGAGAGGTTCCGCCAACGGACAGGGAACGACGCCTGAGCGGATCACCACCGTGGAGAGTTTTGTCCCGAAGAGCAAAAGATGGAGTGTGGCGGTACAGAAACGTAGTGGGATAACAACGGCGTAGGGAGGCCTTCGTGCAGCAGTGGATAGAACATGTCTGATAATCAATTTGGTGTTTCGATTTAAAGCTTTCGTGACTGCAGGGATTCATCTTCTTGGTTCTTTCGGTAAAGTCACGTAGAATGGAAATAATAAAAATAAAACATAATACAATAATTCTCACGACGTTTCGGCCACAACGCAAGTAGCCGTCCTCAGGTAGAGAACAGGTCTGTCAAGGAGACAGAGTGAGAATTATTTTATTATGTTTTATTTTATTTATTATTCCATTCTACGTGACTTTACCGAAAGAACCAAGAAGACAATTTGGTGTTATTTGGAATTTGACCTACAGCAGTTGTTCACGACGTCCTACTCCCGTAATCGGTGACGTCGTAGGTCCTTCTGACCTTTACCGCAGACGGCGGTTACGGAAATCAAACCGCCGTATGTGTAAACCTACCCCGTGGCCAAATCGCCGACCACTCGGCCGTTTGACTGCCACATCCCTGTGCAACCGGGGGATCTGGAATGTTCTCAAATGACGTGGTCGCTCTCAATGGCTGTGGAAATCTGCAGGGGTATTTTTTTTTTCAAGGACTTCTCTATGAAATACTCAAAGCATCCTGGCCAAACAGCCCCACTGAGATCGAGGGCTATTTTTCAGGACTGCTGCATATTCCCTCCTTAACCTTTCCCGCCTGTTCTCCTAAACTGTCACCGTAAGTACACCACCAACTTTTATCTCGACCACTATCATCTTACGTACAATTGTACAATTGCTGTAAAGCACCTTGGCATAAGACGCTGTATGTACGCATGGATGTTGAACTGTTATGTATAAGATAAGTTATCTGTATATAAACGTGTCTCTCGCCCTTGAAGACGAAACATGGCCTGTGCAGTCCTCTGCGCCGTGTGCAACTGTATTACAGCACTCCATTCCAAAAGTAGCTCCAGTGACACATTATTCGAGAACAGGTATGCAAGAAAAACATTGAAGTAGAATTTATGACATGAAGTGAGGCTAATTTTATTTAAATTGCAAATTAGACTTAATTGTGGATTGCTGCAATTAGAATGTATCAAATAGATTTGCTTTACTTTCGTGCTCCTGTTGGGCTATTGCGGTGGTGCATTTTAAATGGAGTGTGCAAACTCGCGTGGCATGTGCTATTATGAATTGGTGTAATTACGATTCCCTCTGTAGTTCAACTAAACTGTTGTTTCATAAGAGATCTGTTCTGATTACAACGGCCGTTAGCACCAAAAAGCACACAATGATATTCACATGAATAATTTACCTGCACATTAAAGAGGTGCAGAGCATCAATCAATATACAACTGACAGCCCAATAACTCAGACAGCCACAATTTGGGGGTGGGGGGACAGCAAAATAAACGAGGCCTGAATCTTCCGACTCTGCGGCGAAGTGCGGCAAATTACAGCCAAGTTTTATACCACCACACCTCCTGACCCACCTCCTCCCCCCATCCCCCGTGCCACGCAGCTGCACTTTTCGCCACCTCGATCTCCTGAACTTTGCTCCCTCGGACGGAAGCGTGGCTCACTCCTCCCTAATCACGCGGATAAGCTGCTCGTTACGTTTCAGCCGGCGGGTGCGGTGGAGGGAGATGTGGAGGGGTCCGCTCGGGGAGCCGCTCCGATCAAGCCATCAGAATGAGAAACGGGTTTCATAAAGGAGCCCCGTTGCATGAGGGTCGTGGGACGGCGTGAAGGCGGCTCGTCGCCAGGATTGCGCCCCCCCCCCGCCTCTCTAAAGGAGCTGCGGGCGATGCTGCTGCTGCTGCTGCTGCTCCGGCAGCAGTGGCGGCGGCAGCGTAATTACGACCCTCCGCGCACGAGCCGCGCGTTTGGAAGGATTCATTTAATAACGCCGCGGGCGCGTCAAACGTTACCGACCGACGGCTGTCGCGGCGCGCCGTTGTTTTATTCGCCCGTCATGTACAAACGTGCTTTTGATGACTCTGGAGCGGACAGCGTTTTTTTCCTTCACTATTTATTGTTAATTGTTATTCTCCCCCCTCCACGCTCCGATGCAAGCTTACCTTAAATTGCGTGCGGCTGCGATGCCGGAGCTCAGAACTGGAGGTCATGTGAGCTGTGGGGGGAGGTCACGCCGAACGGCTCGTGCCGAGCACGGGCCAGAGTAATTCGGCGGGAATCGCATGGAAAAAAAACATTCATCATTCAATTAGCGCCTTCTCTCCCATCTGGCATGGGACCTCTTGAATTCCTGGCTTGGCCCACATAGCCGCTGGCATAATTTAAATTTGCACAACATTAATATTAAACCCTCTTTCGACAACTTTTTCATTACACGCCCAGCAGTGGCGAAGTTTATGAGAAATTATCAAACATTGCGCCGTCCACCGAGAATACTCCAGAAGAAACGGGTTTTGATTAAACATGTGGCTTCATCGGTCTAACTAACATGCTGCTCTCCCTTCAGACGAGTAAAGTGTGCGGCTCAGAGTGAGCAAACTTCCAAGTGGAGTTCCAATCGGGACACCGCAGAGCTCAGTGCCGTATATATTATTTTACTATTCCCCCCCACCCACTCTTACGCTGATGGTGCTATCGGTGTCACGTCACGAGGTGAAGCATGCATTGGGATCTCTCGCAGAGCAGGGCAACCACAACTCTCTTTGTGTTAGAGAAGGGGCCCACTGAAACAGATTTCACAGAGCTACGTCTGAGGTTTGTTTCAAGTGACCTCTGGTCCACGCAGAAGAGGGTAGCACCTCGCCACCCAAGAGTAATGCCCGTCGCATGAGCGTCAAGGTGATATTGAAATTCTGAGAGTAGGCATTTAGTAATTGATTTCAGAAACAAATTTAATTTGATGGGGTTCTTTTTGTCACGATTCCTGAAAACCCAATATAATCACAGGCAGCTACCTGGTTTCGAACCCAGGATCTCACCTGTGCCAGCTCAGTCCTTCAGAACCACCTGAGCGATCTCATGCCAGAGGTCGCAAACGGGTTTTGATTCCTTACCCGTACCCGTACCCGGCCGCACCAGGGTCGCAAATGGGTACCCGTACCCGTACCCAGTCGGGTACGGGTAGCCGTTCCCTACCCGTACCCTACCCGAAATGAGTGACAAACGGCTACTCACCAGTGACTCACGGCCTACCCGTACCCGTACCCGGCCGCACCAGGGTCGCAAACGGCTACCCGTACCCGTACCCGGCCGGGTACGGGTAGCCGGGTATCGGGTAGGGTACGGGTATCGGGTACCCGGTTGCGACCTCTGTCTCATGCTCAGCGCCAGTGCGTGTCTTAGTCTGCTCGCATGCAAAGGCTGAGCCCCGCAGCCCTGAGCGATGGCACAGTGGTCTGCACAGGGCGCTTATTAAAATGAGCCGCTGGGGCCGCGACCTTGATTTATTACGGTGATATAAATAAGCAGAGACGTGCGAGACAGGCGAGAAGCAAAGGCATCTGTGCCCAACAGTTGTGGAACAGCAGCCAGGAAGAGGTCTCGCTGTGAGACTCCAAACTTTACAGAGAATGAGAATAAAGAACCCGCAAACTCGTATGGATTTTGTGAACTCATTTGCCTACTTTTTGGCTCCCCTGCCCCCAGACTATGCTGGCTGGGCATTAGCATTGTATCCATACGAAGAATAATGATAATGTCTGAAATAAATGAAAAAATAGAAATCGTGGTGCATTCCAGATTAAATTTCTCTTTGAATAAATAAGCAGGAAAACCATGGATTGTGTGTTGCGTCCCAACGTGCAGTTTTGTCCTCGCAAGTTTTACGATGGTCATTGTCAGAAACGTTACCCACAGATTGCTCGATTGGGGTACGGTACACATAGCAATCATCTTCGCCCGCATTGAACAAAACTTTGCAGGACCCTCCTGAAAAGAGTCACGAGACTCGGTGAGGCTTCTGGGTAAACAAGTGTCGAAGTAGTAATAATCATCATCATGACAGTCATCGTTCAGGTTGGCCCCTGCATCCCCAAACTATCTGTAGGCCACGATGAGATTATGTGGTTCAGACAGCGGCTCTGCCTGGGAGGGCACACCTTTGCCGGCAGGGCCAGAACAGCGGTTTGTGTTCTTTTAGCGCTGGTTTGTGTTTCTAAAGTTTAACGC